GCGGTGGCGGTGGCGGTGGCGGCGACGGCGGTGGTGGTGGTGGCAGCAGCTGTAGATGATGATGACAACTCGAGTCATCATTGTGACATCTAACTAAATACCAGCAGGAAGACTTCTCATGATAGTACTATGACGATAAGAAGGAGAATCCTAGCCACAAGGAAGGTTACATCCAGCCTTAAGCGCATTATGCGCCTTAAAACACAAAGCTGCTGTGCTCCTGCTTAATGGGCCGCAGAATCGCAGGCTTGCTAGAAGTTGCACCTTGGGCAGATAAATGAATGAGCTCACAGACCCCTCTTGCAGCCAGAGACAAAGTACAAGCACAAGGGCAGAGCTTTGCAGTGGCGAATGCAAGGTCCGTCTTCACAAAACGGACAACCAGCGAGTGAGACTTCTCCGCTCTTTTGCGGAGAGTGCTGGGCCACAGTTCCTCCGCATTGCACAGAGTGCATCCTGTGTCTCTGTGCAGGTGGAGAGCACTGGCAGCAGCGAAACGCGGCATCGGCCCCATAAACGCACGGCAGACTTCTGTACAAGCAATTTTGCCGCGCGTCACTCCGCATAGATCACCCTTGGATTGGGCAGAACCAGGATCCAATGATCATAGGGACTCGCAAAACTGCAGGAAGCTCTAACTTTACGGAACAGCCAAACTAGCCCAGTCTCCCGCATGTTCTCCTCGGCACACAAGTCCTCTCGTCAACCAGCATACACTCCTCGCCTAGTCGGTCACCTCTTCGCACGAAGCCTTACCGCTCTCAGAAATGCTCTGAGCATCCGAAATGGTGCGGCATAGGTTTTCATCAGCAAGCTGTATGGATTGAAATCATGCTTGCACGCAAACTGCAATGCAGCTAAGGGTCTGTGAAGGCACATAGCTCTGTCAAGTTCCCTGCAATCAACCTTGCCCCTCCGCAGCTGCCCAGAACCTCGGGAATCATCAAAGGCACAGCTTGGCAGACGTGCGAACTGGTGCAGAGGCTGCACAGGGCTTGTAGCACTGCGTGTTGCCCTTGCAGACGCCGGAAGCCTGAGAGGGCCATGTTCAGGGTTGACTTGGAGGGTCAGTAGGACATAGTAATAATCAGTAAGAATGGAAAAGAAAATGGACATTACTACAGCGATTTAGGGTTCAGAGTTTAGGGTTGACTTGGAGGGTCAGTGGGACTGAGTAAGCAGGTTAGGAACCCCTATAACTCATCTAGTAACCACAGCTATCCCCATTATTAACCTACTTACTAAGTCTCTCTGACCCTAGACCCCAAACTCTAAATAACGTAGTAGTTTCCATTTTCGTTGCATTCCTCATGTATCCCACATATCCCTATGTACCCCCCATGGCCCTCCAAGTGGGATTAAGGATAGTCACGGACAGAAAGTCTGGATAGTGGTTTAGAGTTCAGCAAGTCAAATAAATGGTCCAATTGCCAATATCAATCAAGGAAGCTCAGTGCTCAAAAAACAAGTCTAAGAGAACCTTGTCCATAAACCTAGGTAGGCAGATTAGCAAACCCTAAACCCTAGACCTTATGTATGGCTGCAAGAGACCCTTGGACATGGCCTGGTTCTAAGTTGGGTTTTGCCCTGGGACCTTGCCCCCAAACCCATGTACTACAGGGGCCTACCAATATCATTTTGAGGTCCACCTGAGGTACCATAGTCCAGAATTAGAAAAAATGTGGAACCATAATCTTGGTAATTATCCCAGCCCTTATACCAAACCGCGATAGAATCTCAGGCTTTTCTTTGAAGTCACCTTGTTGGAGTTGACCGACTTCCTCTTCAGAACTTACTTGCCAGGTCCCTCAAGCCTCTCAGTATTCCACAACCCCATCTGTTGCTGGTGAGGTGCATCATGGCTGCACTGCACAAGCTTCCCACCGCAGCCATGGTAAAGCTTGAGACAGCCGTCATAAGCTTCACATGGATCCTCATTGGGAACCCTTGCTTAGATTTTATCATGGGTTCTCCTACTACCCCCTAGGTTCCCCCCTGAACTAAGGTTATTCAAGAATGATTTTTTAAAAAAATGAGGCTCATTACGGGGAACCTCGAAGGGGTAGTATAGAGGGGGGTAGTAGTGGAACCCATGAGTTTAAGGCTTTGCATGGAAGAACCCTGCTTGGTTTAGGGTATAGGGTTTAGGGTTTAGGGTTTTGCTTTATAATTTAGGCGGCAAATTACGCAACGCGGCCCCGTCTGGAATTTCTAGAGTCAAGGTGTATCCTGAACCTGCATGGGACGTAGTAAGTACTTATAACTGGGATGAGAACCTGGATAAGTCCGGATAGGGGGATTGAAGCTACAGCCAAAAACGAAGCAGTGGGAGAACAAGCTCTTGGAAAGGATATAATTTAGGTGGACCAGTGATAATGAGCATAAGAGATAACAAGTATATTAAGGTCCTCTCATATTCCTAGTATACCACTATTACAGGATGGGGGGTCCTCCAAAGATATCATCAACACAGAAACCAATTGACATAGCCATGGGTAAAAACACGTAGAAACTGTCATCCTTGTATCGATGGCACTAGCAGGAGGGGGTGAGTGCTTCTCAAAGCCCCTAAACCCTAAACCCCAAACTCCTGATGAAAACTCAAAACAATGGCGGACCCCGGAAGCCCCTTCCAATCACCACATATCCCTAGGGCTTTCGGGGGGGCACCTTTCCAGTAACACCCTATACGCTCTACACTACCTGAGCCTTTAACGCTACATGCGCTCTTAAGCCCATATTATACGAGCGATGTCCACATCCGCTTTTCTATGGATCTAATCTGGGAGTTTTCTCTTCTTGTACTTTAGGGTTTGTACACTTGGTTCTGCATCCTCAAAACTGGGGAGGGTACAAACCTTAACGGTACACAACCCTAGCCCTCAAGCCTAAACACTAAAACCCAAAAGCCTAAAACCCTGAACGCTCATACCTAAATCTAATAATAAAACGGTTTTGGCAACCCCGACCCTCAAAAATAGGACCCTGTGATTATCATATGATGGCTATAGGGTCCTAATTTTGCGGGTTGGGTTACCAACACCCCTAAACCCTAAACCCCCAAAATTCTAAACCCTTAAACCCTAATCCCTTTTTTTCCTAAACCCTTAAACCCTAAACCCTTTAATCCTAAACCCTTAAACCCTAAACTCTTATCCCTGCTTTTATATGAGCTATAATCTGAACTCCTAGTATCCCCCCTTAATACGCCCTATAATACTCCCCTATATAATCCCCTATGTAACCCTCCTTCAAGGAGTTTAGACTATAGCTTATATGAGCTCAAGGCTCCATGCCATCCTCCCTGCAAGGCAGCATCGTTCCGTTGCAGGTCCAGCGGCCCACGTTGGCGATGTCCTTGAAATGTTTTTAGGGTTTAGGGTTTAGGGTTTAGGGGGGAGCGGTTTAGGGTTTAGGGGGGAGCGGTTTAGGGTTTAGGGTTTAGGGCTTACTGCATAGGGTTATAGGGTCTCTGCAAAGGGAGTCTATAGGGAGGCAGAGGGGGAGGCATAGGGATTATATAGGGCCCTTTAAAGGGGTTATGTAGGGTCTAGGGTCTAGGGTTCAGACTTTACAATTTAGGATCCGGAGGGGCTTGGGATCCGTTTTTAAGGGGTTCCAGGGATCTATTGGGATGTGTGGGGAAATGGAAACTACTACATTATGTAGGGTTTGGCGTCTAGAGTCAGGGAGCTCAGTAAGTAGGTTGATAATGAGGAAACAGGGGTTACGATGAGGCGTATGAAGGTCAGAAGTATAGTCATAAACCAGCCGGACTCTCCAGGTGAACATAACCGGTCCTTTGAAAGCAGGTTCTACAGGTTCTACAGCGCTATCAACGGAGACCACGGTGGTGGGCCAGGTTCTCGGGGCTTAGGGTTTACCAAAATAACATGGAATATATTGCTGACAGTGGTGAAGGACGAGTACAAGAATGCAAAAGCTAAGGTAACCGTGGACATGGCTGACATACACCAAAAAAAGGAAAGTTGTCAGCATCACTACATAGCTTGCGACGTTCTGTGCCGGACGAGGCAAGCAGAAAGCTGAGCCCGTGGCGAAGTCCGAGGGAATTAGCTTCCGCCAGTACTCGCTCTGAAAGTTGACTCCATCATCAGAGTCTTGGCCTCTCTTCCCAAACCATCCACGGTTTAGAGTTTAAGGTTTAGGGTTTAGGGTTCTATGAATTATGAACCAAATAAGAAAGCCCCAAAAATGCATGGAAAGCCCTGAACCCTAAACCCTTGAAAAAGTTCTTGTTTTGCCGAAGTAACTTGGCCCACATTAGCCTAGGAAGAGAAAAGGTTCGGTCTGTCGTGTCCAACTACCCCCCCCACCCGGGTGGGTTGGTAGTCGCAATGCAAAGATTGGAGTACATCTACTGGTGAAACTCGGCTCGGAAGTCGTCGGGGAATTGCAGTGGGCGAGGTGCGCGGGGGAGCGAAACATAGACAGAGAAGTTCCGACGATTTGGCAGAATGTGCTGCCGGACAGCTTGGGCGACAAGCGACGGATTGAGTAGGACAGGGCGAATAGGGAATGAGATAGTAAGGTTGCAGAAGCTAGGTTTCAGGCTGGGCAACTGAATAAAAGGTAGTGGAGTCATTTCTTGCCTGGATTGAAGATGGTTGAAAGTTCTGCGAAAGAGATTGAGAGCATCTTGCAGTAGGGGTCTCGGCAGAATTTTGGACTTGTGGGGCGGGAACAAGTGGAAGTATGAACGATGGGAGTCGTACTCTTTAGTGGACAACCGGGGACCTTCAAAAGGGGTATCTCGGTGTTGTTGCATGTCTTGCGGAGCGCTAGTCGAGTAAGTGATAAGTAGATCAAAAAGCACCTCTACGAAAGACGCCTGACCTGGAGTGTCTACTGGTGGCCATTGCAGGAGTGAGAAATAGACCTGGACTATTCTCAACCAATGGTTGTCCCATTGCCTGCATGGAGCAGGCCACTCTGCAGGTAACTCGAAGAAAGGTTGGCAGGCCTCTTCGGGTGGGTTAGGGGGATTCCATATAGTATTGTTTTCAGGGTGAATATCCTCTGTTGCCTTTTTGGCTTCCAAGACTCTGGCACTTGCCTGCTGGTGAAGATCCCAGACGTTTTTAATTTCCTTTGAGCATTTTTTTGTTTGCTGAACCGCAACAGACCACGCTGCTGGTTGGGAAGAAATTAGAGATCGGAGTGGTTTTTTCGCCAATTGGTCGGCCTTATCATATACTTTGATTTCCCAAATGTCTTCCTGAGACAAATTTGGAGTGTCAATCGAACAATGGGCCTTGGTCTTTTGCACAGTGACCTAGCGTGGGCCTTTAGCAGCGACTTGTGCCAAGATCAAACACCATATATCATAGTCCTGTTTATCGAATCACTCATGTGGCAAAAACGGGGTAGATAAGAGGTGCCTAAAATTGGCACATACCGCCGCGTTGTCTCAGAAAACTTTGCAGGGACAAGGACAGTTAAAGGCCTTAAGAAGTGCGAAGGCTTCAGCTCTGACGATGGAGTGTTCCTGGCCTGGCAATGGGCCCCAATCCATGGGTACCCATGAACAAGGTGGCACCCAGGCGACGACAGACCAGGTCGCCAACGTGAGGGCCGGCAGCTCTGAGGGGTCTGCTGAGCCATCTGTAAAGAGGCACACTTCAGGAAGGTTCTGGATTTCTCCCCAAGCAGCAGAGTGTTCTTGCTGTGGGATTTGCTTAGGAGGGATCGACAATGATGGAAGGCCAGTCAGGAGTGTGGCACGGGGTAGCTTATGAGCAAGAGCTGGGACGTCCAGGGTTGTGCGGAGATCTGCCAATTCAGGACATTCGAGGAGGAGGTGCTTAATTGAATCGCAGCCGCCGCATAACGGGCACTTATCTGGGTCGTCGAATCCCGCATGCAGTTTAGCTGTTGGGGTCATAATCGCGGCTGTGCGATACACCCTCGAGAGTGGACGGGAAGCTAGGGCATTAGTTGGAGCTATTGAACAAGTTCCCCAATGTGGCGAGAGTTGCCGCCATTCGTCTCTTGAGGACTGCAGGCGCACAGTATGTAGTTGTACCCAGGATTGCAAGGCCCACTCCATGGTATCAGCCAAGGAGGTTCTGAAAATATGGAAAAAGTCAGGTGGCCCTTCTCCCAGGTTTTTTTGTACTAGCCCATTAGGGTGTGTTGTGAATCCCACGCTTTAGGAAGAAAAAGGATCCTTTTTACTTAAATATAGGGAACCCCATACCCCAAAAAGTATAAAGGATCCCTTACATTGATCCAGGTAAGTGGCAGGTACCGTAGAGGATGGTACAGTGCTTCAGGACTGCTTGCCACCGCACCTGAAGCAAACTGGGTTGCTGTTAAGGAACTTAAATTAAGTTACCATAATGGGTATATGTTGTAAATAATAGGGTTTTCCCAATATAGTAACTTAATTTAAGTTCCTTAACAGCAACCCACACTGCCACCGAAGTTACCAAAGTTACCAAACCCCAGACAGTTTACCCCTTAACCCGAAACCCCAAAATCTTAGACCCCAGACCCCCTCACTTTTAAATCCAAGTTCCATACCATTCTCCATTGTCTCTTTCACTTGACTCTTCACTCTGGGGGAACCCTAAGCTCTTCAGATCCAGCCACTCCAACACAAAGGTCACCCTCGGTTGTGCACTGCTGGATGCACGCGTGCTTGCTTTCGGCAATCTTGTCATCATACTTGCCTCAGTCACAAGTGGCAAGCACAAACTCCATAGGCTGGGGTCCCATGGGCCATATTATGAGACCACATGTAAACCCAAAGATTTGAAGATTTTGGGTTTAGAGTTTGGGGTTTAGCGGCTTGGTTTAAGGGTTTAGGGTTGAGGGTTTAGGGCTTACCTGGTAATTGACACTGATGATGAGCTTTTCCAGCGCCAAACGCCGACGCACACGCATTCTGATTCCAGACCAGATGCCTTCAGCATCGTCGCATGCCTTCCTGTCCACAAGCTACAACAGATGCACTGCTGCTTCTAGACTAAACGTCAAGACCTGAGACCTGCATTTTGGGTTTCTGAAAACATTGGGCCCTTTTACGGGTACCCACTCAAGATTCTATGGGAGGCATTCTGTGAGAACCTCTCTTCCAAAACGTAGAGCATCTGCCAAAAATCCCTACTGTATATCTCCCTGTATAGCTCTGTAGACCCCTAAAAGGAAGATAGACTGGTGCTGTGTTGAGATTAGGACTATAGCTCCTTTTTTCTTCGATTTGTCCTCTTTGCTCTTTGACCCCCCGCCTTGCATGTGGGACAATGGTGCTGCAGTATAGAGCCTGTTCCATGGGAAACAACTACCCAACCCCCCCCCAAGGCACCACGAGGGAGGTATTTATTCCCATGGTGATTGTGTAGGGATGATGTAGAGAGGTCTGGGGACATTTAGGGAGATTCTGGGACTACAGGTAATTCTGAACGGGGTTATACAATATCTCACTACAGCTAGTTTGGATTATCATATCTGTTAGATATTGAGTTCCAGTATACACAAACAGGCAACAACTTGCTCAAGAACAGCCCAGAAACAGAGGACGTGCCGTTCGGGTCCAAGCAATGGTCGTCCCGGAGAGCCTCATACTGGACCTTGCTTGACGGTCGGTCTGACGGCAGTCAGGGAAACCGTTCAGGAACTGAAAATTAGGTTCGCACCATATGGGTATGCAGTAGATTATGTTGTGCATGTGTAAGGGCAACTTCATTTAAGTTCCTTGACAGCAACCCCCAAAAAGGACGCATCAAGCGACAGCTTCGACATGGTCTGAGCCCGCTACACCAGGATAATTCCCAATGACTTGGCCTGAAATCAACACAGAACCACATGGGGATTTCCCAAAATTAGGGGTACCTTTTTGGATGTTCCTATTAGAAGGATTATAGTATTTGGGGGTCTATATTGGGGTCCCTCAATTTTGGGAAACTACCACATCTCCAGTTGACACGCTACGGACCTGCCTGTGCAGCAAGTTATCCAAACGGAAACCGCAAGATATGCCAGCCTCACAGGGGTTTAGGTTGTGGGTCTAGGGTTTCGGCTGTAGGGTTCAAAGCTCTGACAACAAGCAGCTGGCGGGGTTGCACAAGCAGCTCATCGCAATCTGGCCTCCATCTGACATGCATCTCTGTAAATGAACAAACTACGGGAGCCATCCTTGAGGAAGATGGCTGCAGACGCATGATGTAGGGCCCCGAATACTTACCAACGTCATTTTGAGGTCCTTTTCAGGTGCCCTAAACCCTAAACCCTAATTCTTATTTCATAAGGAACGTTATATCCCATATGTAAGGTCATCTAGGGGCCATATAGGGTCATACGAGGGTTACATAGGGTAACCTCAGATTCTCTGGGGATTCGAGGCTAGGAATGCTCTCATGACGTACCGTCCCTCATGGCCTGGGCACGGGGCGACTGAGGCAGAAAAGCACAAGAAAACAAAGGATCTGGGCTTGTTTAAAAAAAGGCGAAGACAATCTCCTGATACCCGTATACCCTGAACCGTAAACCCTTAAACCCTAAACCCCTACAGTATGGGTTTTTGAGGGCCCCGTTTTGAGAAACCCTCCATCTCAAGTCGCCGAGTTCCAGGCCTTTGCTCGGATTGCCCTCCTGGCCAAGCGAGACACAAAGGAAAACCCACGCCAGTAACTAAAATCGACCTCCAAAAAGGCCCTGCTAAGGCCACGGTCCCTGTAAAAGGAACCTATATGAGCCATAACTCAAACTCCTAGTATCCCCTTCTTAAGCCCTATAATATTCCCCTTTATAATCCCCTTTAAGGAGTTTAGACTATAGCTCATCGGGGGTTTGCATGTTTGGGGGAATGTAAATTACCAGCCCGAGATTGCAAAGCCATAAGCCTCAAGCAGCAGCTTGTCGAACTCTTCCATTTCGTCCTCCAGTGGAAACAAAGTCTTGAAAACAAAGTCTTGAAAACAAAGTCTAAAAAGGAGATTTTGGTAACCCCAACCCCAAAACTCGAACCCTATAATCATCATATGATAGTCATAGGGTCCTAATTTTGGAGGCTGTGGTTAACAGAGTCCTTTTGTTTAAGTCGCTGTTCAGCCAGGTGCTAACTAAGGCCCGATTGTCTACCATGTCTGCAGTCTGCAGACACCGTTATACGTTGCGCAGCCACCCTCACGATTTAATCTTATTCCTGCGGGAGCATCAAGAATTGCCAGTATCACAGTCCTAGGTTCACTGTCTAATTATGAATATTTCAAAAACTCAAAATCACAGTGATAATTATTTAGGACCCTGCATTCCTTCACATAGCCCCTACCTAAACCCATTTGCCACTTCATGTTCCATCTTTCTTTCCATTAGATTCTCCATTATTAATGATTCATCACCTCGATATTTAAATCCTACTACTGTATCGGGAGTTAAGCAACAAAAAACCAGCGGCACATTCGGTCCACCAGCGGTGGTGGCGGCAGGACTTTCACAGGCACAGCTCGCGTCACAGGCCTTGGGAATAATTTTCGTGCAATAATAGTGATAACAACAAGAAGAGCAATAATACTTCCCATAACAGCGGAATAACACCAAAGGCGATTGATTCAGTGACGAAATAATGAGAAAGCTGCAGTCGCGGGATTTCAGCACAATCCCCGTTGAGCCCATATACAGTCCGTGCTCATGCTGCCACCACATGCTCCCTACCTCATATGATCCCCACCCCTATTCCCATGGATACTAATTGTCTTTTCGACATAGAACCACTTTGATAAAGAAACTTTCAGGTGGGAATTCCAAAGTGAGTACCCTAAGATCAGGCTGCTTACATGATGCTTACACGGGGAGACTAGGAGGTATATAAGCCATTTGTCTCAACTCCTAGTATTTGCCTTAATAACCCCTACTGTAGTGCCCTATATAATCTCCTATATAACCCCTTTTAAGGAGTTTAGACTATAGCTCATATAAGGGCTGTCAGGCAAACTACCCACCTGGAAATTCCACAGGCTCCCAACCCTAAGCCTTGGATCCTAGACCCTGAACCCTAAACACTAAACCCTACGGTCCCCCTTGAGTAAATAGAAAATGGGGTTTGTAGGGGTTATACAGGCATATTGGAAAAGAAATGGAAACAACTATAATGGGTTATATTATGGTTTAGGGACCTCTTAAGTAGATAGAATATGGGGTATATGGGGATCTTATTACTATATACCCAAAGCCATAGTCTATCTACTTAAGGGGGACTATAAGGTTCAGCGCTTGGGGAATGAAAGTGAGAATGAGAACTACTCTGTGATCAGGGAGGGATAATGGAAAAGAAAATGGAAACTACTACTTAGGGTTTTGGGTTTAAGGTTTAGGGTTTAGAGGTTCATAGTTTGGGCTGCTGTAGGGAACCACTCCTCAATTTCCCGCCGACAACCAGTCAGTTGTTTCCTGCTTTTGGTGCTGCTGTGCGCTTTGGGGTTTAAGGTTAGGGTTGTCTCAGGGTTAAGGATTTAGGGTCTAGGGCTGCTAGCGTAGGATTTGAGGCTTAAATCTAAATTCAGTGTTTATGTAAGGAATATGACTATAGTCCAGGAGTGATGGCTGCTTTTTTTGGTCTAGGTTTTTGAGCCCGAGTGCTTAGGTTCTTGAACCGAAACCCTCAGCCTGAAACCCCTAATCCTGATTTCCCGGCCAAAGTTTTCAGTCGAGCCATGGTATAAACTCCTAGTCTCCAGCTTAACAACCTCTATAGTACTCCTCTATATATATATATATATACCCCAGAAAGGAATTTAGAATATGGTTCAAGTCAGGGCATATGCCAGGGGATCTCAGAGGTTGGCTATTGGGTGGTCAGGATGCCCTAATGTGGCGCATAGAGTCGAGGGCTTTGGGTTTAAGGTTGAACAATCTGGATCATGTTGTGGCCTCAAAAACCTGCAACAGAGCTGAATCACCCAAAGCCATGAACCCTAAACCAAAACTTCCAAACCGCAAAATTTGAACCCCCAAAGTTATACCCTAAACTCTGAATCTTAAACGCTAAGCTTCAAAGTCTAAACCCTTAACTCTGAACCTATTACTGGGTTGCTGTTAAGGAACTTAAATTAAGTTACCATAATGGGTATATATAGTAAATAATAGGGTTTCCCCAATATAGTAACTTAATTTCAGTTCCTTAAATCCTTATACCCAGTTTCCATTTCATTTTCCATTTTCTTTTCCATTTGATTCTCCATTATAGGGGGGGAGAATATAGTAACTTAATTGAAGCTCCTTAACAGCAACCCAGATTAGGGTGAGGGTCTCGGAGCTTATAGAACTCCCTCACACTTGAGTTTGGGACTTCATGGCTAGGACTTATAGCTTTAGGGTTTAGGAGTTTAGGGGTTTAGGGGTTTAGGGTTTAGGGTTTAGGGGTTTAGGGGCTTAGGGCTTAGGGTTTAGGGTTTAGGGGTTTAGGGGTTTAGGGTTTAGGCTTAGGGTTTTGTGGTTACGGTTTAGGGCTTGGGGCTGAAGGGGAATACAATCTGCAGCAAAGCAAGAAAATGCCTAATCTAGGCAGCTTCAATTTATTGAAAGAGTGCAGCTTGCTACAACCCATATACTACTAACACAAGGTTTAGGGATTAGGGTTTAGGGTTTACCATACATATCCTGACAGCCCCGCGCCCTGAAACCCCACTCCCACACCTTCAGCTCCATTTTCCCAGAGCCCAGCAAACCCCAAAGCTCCAAATCTGGAACCCCAACCCTAAACCTGAGAGCTAAGCCCCAAAAGCCCAAAGCCAAACGTCCGAAACTCCACCCTAAACCCTAAACCCTAAACCCTAAATCTAAACCTGGCTGAGCTCGAAAACCCGATCTAACTTCAAGTTGGCCCACCTTGGGCTGCTCATGTCCTGCAAGAAAGTGTAACTCCAGAGATGTACTTGGAGTCTCATTAGGGTTTGGGGTTCAGGGTTTATTCAGGTTTAGAGCTTACGGCTCAGGGTTTAGAGTTTAGAGTTTAGGGTTTGGGGTTTAGGGTTTAGGGTTTAGGGCTTGGGGTTTGGGGTTCAGGGTTTAGGGTTTAGGGCTTGAGGTTTAAGGTTTAGGCTCTAGGGCAATTACAACGCAACTCATAAACCGCTTAAGATTCTAGGTTCAGTTTAAGGGATTTGCGTTCGGGGCTTAGAGTTCGAGATGTATAGTCCCCCTTGAGTAGATAGAATATGGCTCTGGGAAAATTATAATAAGATCCCCATATGCCCCATATTCTTAAGGGGGACTATAATGGATGAGTTGGGGTTTAGGGTTTAAGGGGTTTCGGGCCTTGGGATGACTGTCTGTAGAGTTCAGTCTCGTTTGGGGCGGTTCCCAGACGGACGAATGTGGTGCGCAGCTGCTTGCAAACCACACAGCCTAGCACCCTAAAATACAAGCCCAATCTAAACCCTAAATCCTAAACCCAGATCAAGCCCCACAACCTTGTCGAACCCTGAAAATCGGCACCCTAATTAAACAAAAAGCGGGGGAACCATTGTGATCCTATGATACAAAGGGGTCTCTCAAAATGGGTAGGCCCAGGGACCAGGGGGATGCATGGGGATTCTCAGGGATCATGGGAGGCTTAGGGTTTAGGGCCTAAACCCTACACCCTAAACCCTAAAAATGCTAGAGGCTCTGGAGAACCTCCCGGAACAGTGATCACCATGAGGATTGTGTTCAGGGTTTAGGGGTCTAGGGTTTAGGGGTTTGGGGTTTAGGGTTCAGGGCTTAGGGTTTAGGGATTTTCGCTCGAGGTTCCCAGTAACCTCGGATTCTCTAAGTGAGTCCTTCCTCAGGGATGCTTCCAATGCAGATTGTACTACTTAGAACATAAATCACGGAGATCATAGGTTTCACTAAACTTCAGGAACAATGAAAGGGCCCAAACCGGCAAAACACAATGTTCAGGCGTACTTGATTAGAGCCTTGTGTTGCTTGAAAACCAGAAGTAGAAGCCTTAAACCGCTACATCTAAACCACTAAACTAAACACTAAACCTGAAGCCCTAAACCC